GAACACAACATTACTAGGCACGTTGCTGGTCCATGAGCTCCTTCCAGAACAGTTTGAGATGTCTTCAGGCTTGGACTAGCCAGGTGTACATTCTGAGTTAATGAGATGCTTGCACCATTGTTTAAATATACACAGTGAGTTATTTACTTTCTTTTTGCCTTGCACAGAGCGCTTGGCACCACTGCTGGGTTTGTGAATCTGGAAAACATAGCAGGAAAATATGAAGCCAGCCTGCAGTCTTGGAGTAATTTTGTTTCTCTCTGTGTTACTTGGATTCCCATCAGTGTTATTTCCTTGGCATGAATCTGACTTGAAAGCTATTAAGTTCTTAGTGTCTGTACCTTGTTCTTCTCCAAATAAATACACCACTGAAGAATTTTGGTACGTGTTTTGATGTGCAGAAGAGGGGCAGTTCCCTTGGCAGAGTTTTGCATATTTGATCATCTCGTTGTTTGGGTCTCTACATGTAAAGGAATGCAAACTTATAGATGAAATTTGTGCTTTTAAAAGAAAGTTTTTGAATCTGGTTTGGTTTGTGAAGAATTGTGTATTTCAGATTTAATCAATAAGAGAGGTATAATCACAGCCTCATTTTTCTATTTAAGCCCAAGATTATAGATCAGGCCACTTTTCTGCAAGTGTTCTCATTAGTGCTCCAGCTGGGAGGGTGGGAAATTGCAGGAGATGGGGCTGATGAGGACCAGCTTGTAATTCTGAGAGTATAAAGCACTCAAGGCAGTAGAAGTACAGTAAAGGCCATGCAGTCCAAACAGAGAGGCTGCCTGCTCACCCTAGCCAAATAAATGCCTGTACTTACTTTACAGTTTATGGCCGTAAGTTTAAAGAATTGATGTTAACTGTGGATTGTTGGAGGTTATTTTTTGATGCACACCCAGCTTGGTGTTAACTGTGCATATGTGCTAACCTTAAGGGTGTATTCAGACAACAATATTAATTCACAGTCCTCAGGAATGCATGTTGTTGGTGTTGTTATGTGCCTTTGAATCACCTGTGACTCATAGAGACCCTATATACAACAGGTCTAAAGCCTGCCCTGTCCTGAGCCGGTCTGTCTCTGACACACCTATTCTATTACTTCAATTACTGTGTCAGCCCATCTCATCCAGGGTCTTCTTCTCTTGCATTGGCCCCTCCCTACTTAGCATGATGTCCTTCTTTAAGGACTGGTCTCTCCTGGAAACGTGCCCAAATTATGTGAGAGAGTTTTAAATCTTTGCCTTCAAGGAGAAACTTGTTTTCACTTTCACCAGGACAGACATATTCTCTTGGCAATCGATAGTATGCTCGATACTCTTCTCCAGCACCACAACTTGAAGGCATTGATTCTTCTGTCATCTTTAGTCATTGTCCAGCTCTCTGATGTAATTAATTGTAAAGATCATGGTCTGGGTCAGGTGCACTTTAATTTTTAGAAGGAAATCATTGCTCTTGAATACTCCCAAGAAGTCCCTGACAGCAGATTTTCCTAATGCAATTCTTTTTTTTCTTTAATTTCCTAACTACTGATGCCAAGAACATTGATTGTAGAACCAAGTAAGCTGAAATGGTTAAAAATAGAAATCTCTTCCCAGTGGTGAGAATCTTTGTTTTCTTGATGTTGAGCTTCAATCCATTTTGAAGCTTGACCTTCTGCAGCAAATGCCTCACATCCTCCCAAATTTCAGCAAGCAATGCTGTATCATCTGCATGGTGCAGGTTGTTGAGTCCTCCTCTAATCCTGATGCCACACTCCTCCTCATAAAGCCCTGTTTCCAAAATGATCTGTTCTGCATATAGATTGAAAAGGTATGGAGACAGGACACATCCCTGATACACTCCTTTCCTGATTTGGAACCATGCAGTGTTTCCCCGCTTTGTTTTGATGATGGATTCCTGTTGCAAGTATAGGTTTCACATGAGCACAGTTAAGTGTGTTTTGGGATTTCCATTCTTCTCACCGTTAGCCACACAGTCAAATAACTTTGCATAGTCAGTGAAACACAGACATTCCTCTGGTACTCTGCTTTCAGCCATTATCCAGCTGACATTGGTTATGATGTCCCTGGTGCCAACAGCTTCTCCCAAACCCAGCTTGCACTTCTGGCAGTTCTCTGTTCATGTTTTGTGCCGTAATTTTTGGATAATCTTCAGCAGGATCTTGATTGCATATGATTTTTTTTTGATTGCATATGATTTTACTGATATTGCTTGATAATTTTCATACTCTGTTGGGTCACCTTTTTTTTTTTTTTTTGAATGGGAATAAATTTGGATCTCTTCCAGCTGGGTGGCCATGTAGTTGTCCTCCAGATTTCTTGGCACAACCTGGTGAGCACATCCAGGGCAGCATCTTTTTGTTGCGTAGGCGTATGTATTAGTTATCTAACGCTGTTATAGCAGAGATACCATCAGTGGTCGCTTTTTGCTTTGTTGTTGTTTGATGCCATGGGGTCAACACCTCATGCACAATGGATCGAAACCTTGCCCCATCTTTTACTTTCCTCACGCAATCTGCTATGTTCAAGCCCATTGTTGAACTCACTGTGTCTGTTCAACTTATTGAGGGTCTTTTCCCCTTTTACTCACTAACTTTTCTCAGCAAAGATTGGTCTCTCCTCACAACATGCCAAAGTATATGAGATGAGTTTTGCCATTCTTGCCTCTGAAGAGCACCTTATCCATCTCCCAAGGCAAATTTATTTGTTATTTTGGTAATCCATGGCATTATTTCGTACTCTTTGTTAAAACCACAACTCAAAGGCATTGTTTGCCTTTCCATAGTCTTTGCCCAACTTTCACGTGCTTATGAGGCAATTGAAAATATGACTCAGGTGAGGGCCACTTTAGTCTTTAACACGTTGCTGCAAATGATGGCTACAGCCGCCCTGCACATTTTAATTAATTATTCAGTAATACATTTGGGGAAAAAAAAAGGATGTAACATTCCAGGTAACCTATCAGTTGTTTTTTTTTGTGTGACAGTCATAGCCGTCATTTACCCTGGGAAGAGAAAAAAATGTGATGAGCAAATGATGGTTGCAGCCGTTGAGAGTTTTCATGGGAAAACTGTGACAAAATGTGATAATTTTCACTTCCAAACATATGACTGATGCTCAGTTTCATGTGGCAGTCATAAACAATTGAAAAAAAGTGTTTCTAAGCATGGACATCAATTTAAAAGTGTGCGGCAACGTGTTAAGCGGATATCTTTGCTCTTTAGCATTTTACAGAGTTCTTTACAACATTTTCCCCCAGTGATTTCTTCTCTGCTGCCACCATATGTGTTGATAGTGGTAATTTACACATAGTAAGAGTTTTTATTACCTATTTATTTAGCATTTATATTTATTTTCTTTCTCTTTTTGGTGTATGTTTATATACTGTGATCATCATTTGTGGATTACATTTTCCTGTTCTCTATTTTTCTGAGTGTCCTATTTCAACACAGTATGACTTTTCAACACTCACAGTGCGGAGTCAGGAGCTGTGTAGAGTGTAGGCATCACTGAGTCACTTCTTAGCAAGTGCTTTAGGCTGGAGGGAGGGCCACCCAGCTGGGCAGGCAACATCTTGGGGAAAATGGCTCTGGAGGGAAAGGAAACCTTTGCTATGTAGCAGCTATTCAAACTTCAGTCAAATATTTCATTCACCTGAACTACAGTTTGTAAAATAGATATGATGTATAAGTATCTCTTGAGAGCACTGAAATGAGATATACACATCCCCTTCTATGGTGTATGGACCATAGAAGGTTCTGATTAAGTGCTAGCCTGTAGTGGGGGAGGAGTGGGCAGGGAGGAAAATGTGCAACAATGAATGAATGGGGAAAAATTAAATGGAAAGAATATGCTGTAAAATATATATATGTTTCGTTAAAAATTATTAATAAAACTTTTTTTAGAAAGGAGTTCTTTACACTACATTCTGTTACGACATTTATAGAGGTGTGATTTTGCAGAACCATTTCAGCTCAGTGTGTAGGTGCCGACTTGCTGCTGTTCTTTGTGACAATGATTGCATTTCTCTTTCTGAATCTTCTGGGTTTCTCTGGCCTTAGTAGTTAGTTGACAGTCAATTAGGGAAGGGTACCTGGCTGACTTTGAGCCTCTGAGACCTTAATGTTTGAAATCTTGGCAGGCAGCCACATCTCACCAGTCCCCGAGAGATATTGTCAGGTGTGTGTTCCTTCCTAATCACAGTCTGAACTTTTTGAATTGGGCAAGTTCTGACCTGAGTGAGCAAAGACAGGGAAAATGCTTTCAGAGAACAATGTGAAATAGTCAGGTCTGAGGAAGAGGGAAGTCTGGCCTGGGGAGAGACATTTCTCTTCCCCCTGTACTGAGCCAGGATGTAAGAAAGGAGACAGGGGCCATCCGTGGTGTCAGGTGGAAGATGATGGGCCCCTGGAAAGTATCTTGGGTTTTTCCTTTTCACATATTGAATGAAAAACCATCACTTTACTCATCTAAAGCCAAAAATCAAACCTGTTACCCCTGAGTTGATTCTGTCTCTATGTGTTTCATAATAGAACTGTGTTCCAGAAAGTTTTTATGGTTGTGATGTGTGTGTGTGTTTTGAATGTAGATTGCCCCGTCTTGAACAGCCACCCCTTAGGATAGTAGTTCTTAGCCATTCTCACCACCCAGAGACTCCTGCTAATCTTTAAAACAACAACAACAAAAACATCCAAAAATAGCTTTGGTGCCATTGAGTTAGCTGTGACTCATAGTGTCTGTATCGAACAAAGTTGAACTGTTCCTTAGAGTTTCGAGGCTGTGTCCTCATGGGAGTAAACTGCTACATCTTTTTCCCCGCAGAGCAGCTAGCTGGTGGGTTCCGGCAGTCAACCTTTTGTTTAGCAATCTGACACTTCGGCCACTGCTCCACCACGGCTCCTCTTATTCATCTTTGGAAGAAAGACTTTTATTTATTTAAAACTTTCTCATTTAACTCTTGGCTTAAACCAAGAACTAAAACAATAATTACATCTTTCTTTCTAGGTCTTTCAGCGGCCCAGCGGAAGTTTGCTCATTCGCTCAGAGACTTTAAGTTCGAGTTTATCGGTGATGCGGAGACCGATGATGAGCGTTGTATAGGTGCGTAAAAATGAGGCGTTGCTTTGCTTCCCTTGGCTTTGGCCACCGAGTTATAATTTCTTTCTTCCTTACAGATGCTTCCTTACGTGAGTTTTCAAATTTTTTGAAGAATCTGGAAGAACAGAGAGAAATTATGGTGAGTAAAGCAGTGTGAATTCATAGATTCAGTTTTGCTTGAGGAAAGTGTGGGTTGAGAAGCTGGTTCTGGTAGAATTTTTAGTCCATTTGTCCATGCACAAAGTCATGCATTATAGTGGAAAAATCCTGGCTTAGGTGTCAGGAGTCTATGTTTCTAGTTCTTTTGTATTGCTGAAAACATTGTGACTCTGGGCAGGGCTTGCTTCTTCATCTTTAAGACTGCTGATTTGACTATGTCATTGCTTTCTAGCATTTGGTTTGAAATGGAACACTTTGATTTACACCGATTGCTCATTTAGTGACTACTTCATTATCTGATATTCGCATTTGTGATCGTAGTAAAACATCTGACTATTTTGTGCATTAATGAGGTGGTGGCAGCCACTATAAAGCATTTCCTTCCTTGAGGATAGTCTTCAGGGGCCCCCTGGGAAGCCAGCATATGCCACTCTGCCCTCCACTCCCTTCTGCTGGCCGAGAATGCACAGAGAGCACCACATCAGCAAGCACCTGTTCTCGGTTCCCAGCACCTAGGAAGCCTGAGGTCTTGCACCTCATAAGAGCTGAGGGGTTGGAAGGGAAGAAAGAATCATCAGAGAAAAAGTTTGTAAGAGATACTTGAGACACTGATGACATCTGAAAGTGAGCCTAACCGAACCTGAAATGCCCACCTCTCTGGGGCTGGTGTGTGTTCAGGCCTTCAGCACCCTGGGAAGATGCCCCTGGCAACAGTGATTCACCAGCTCCGGAGGGCAGATCCACAGTAATGGTCGGAGCCCACATGTGACGAAGGTGAAGTGGTTATACTATGGCACGCCGGTCATGCGACTTAGATTTAGCTAGTGTTGTCTCTGTCGACCCTTCTCCACAAAGAAATAATCTATAACTGGACTCATTAAAGTGATAAGCTCATAAGTAAGTCTTAGATATTATTATTTCTAAGATCATATTTTCTAGATTAAAAAAAAATCTGCTGACTGATCTGAAAAGAGGAAAAACGAATCTTCCTTTGCCACATAATGGTTTTCTTCTAAAAGCTTGGTCTTTGGCACCTGACCATGCTAATAAGTGAAAAGTGGCTGTATATAGAATATCATGCAGAATCTTAGTTTATTTGTTGTTGTTGTTATTGTTTTGTGCTGTCAAGTCACCTGCGACTCATAATGACCCTATGCACAACAGCCCTAACCCCTGCTCTATCCCTTGCCAATCTTATTGTCTTCAACACAGCTATCCCCATTACCCCAGTGACTGAATCAGTCCATCTCATTGAGGGTCTTTCTCTCCTCCACTGTCCCTCCACCCTCCCAAGCAGGATGTCCTCCTCTAAGGACTGATTTATTTAGGAGGTTGGGGAAAAAAAAAGAATCCTACACTTTTCATTTGTAGGATAGGCAAAGAATATGGAATATACCATGGATTTCCAGAAGCATAAGCAAATCTGTCTTGGCGGGGCTGGAGGAAGAATAGTCAGAATGTTCCTAGAAGTTGGGACGTCTTGTTTCCTTTGCACATGTCATCAGTGGGGACTAGTTGCTGGAGAAGGACACTGTGCTTGGTAAGACAGAGGATCAAGGGGACAAGAAGAAGGTCAAGTGTGGAAGAAATTCTCAGTGAGATGCATTGATATAGTTAGTGGTGGCACAATGGGCTCACATATAGCAATGATTGTGAGGATGGCCCAGGCTGAGCAACATTTTATTCTATTGTACCTGAAGTTGCTGTATTTTAGAGTAAGTGCAGTGATAACAAAAACAAGAGAGAAGAGCATTTGAGCTTATGTGGAAATAGAGGAATAGCAGAGCAATATCAGAGTGTGACTCACTTTGTCATTTGAAGCTCTGTAGAGAGAGAACTCAAGCCTAGACGTGTTTGAGATATTTTGATTTGAGATTCATGATAAGAAAAGTAATAATAATAATAGCTACTCTCAGTTGGGAACTCTGTGTCTCATGCTGTCAGAACATTGGTGTGTGTTTAAATGTGCTCCTGGGTTGATGATGACTTTTGTGGGGCTGAGTTATATTTAGGGCAGTCTGGTGGCATAGTGGGTAAGCAGTTGAGCTGCCAACCCAAAGGCAGACAGTTTGAATCTACCAACTGTACCTCGGGAGAAAGATGAGCAGTTTTCTCATATGATTTATAATTTCTGTACACCCATTTGGTCAGCTCTGAGTTGGTTCTGAGTGGATTGCAATGAGCTGTTGTTGAGTCCTATTTGTCTACCTTTCTTCGAAGTGTTCGCTTCCTTCTTGATGACTGCTACTCATCTATTCAATACAGATTTGTCATGGAATCATCACCAGGTTACACACAGTATCCACATAATTTTTTCAGGCCTTTTTATCTTTATTATTGATTGTATATTTTTTTATTATATAATTGATTTTCTTTTTGTTTTTGTGAATATACACTTGCAGAACGTATACTAATTCAACAATGTCTACATGTACAATTCAGTGACATTAATTACATTGTCCAAGTTGTACAGTTTTAGAGTTTTAAAAATATATACATTTTTTTCTATGTTACTGAGCATAAGCAGCTGTTAGGTAGTGTTGAGGTTGTTCTAATCCATAGTGACCCTCTTTATAGCTGAATGAAGCCATTCCCATTCTGAATCATCCTTAGAGTTTTGTCACATTTTAACTAACTATTGCGGCCATTGTGTCATCTTGTTGAGGGTCTTCCTCTTTTTTGTTCATTCTTTGCTTTAACAAGCATGGTGTGTGTCTCTAGAGACTGGTCCTTCCTTGTTAGATGTCCAAAGTACGTATGATGGAGTCTCTGCATCTTCATTTCAAAGAAATATTTTTGTTTTCTGTTCTACCATGATATAGTCATATTCTTCACCAATGCTGTGATTCAAATGCATCAGTTCTTCTTCTTTCTTCCTTATTCATTGTCCAGCTTTTTTTCCCCTTTATTTTATTTTATTATTTTTTTTTGTGTGTGTACCGTCAAATAGGATCTGGCTGGTACAGGAGGAGATTGCCCCTCTTTCTCCAGCAGAGCATCTGGTGGATTTGAACCACGTACCTCTGGGATTGCTGTGCAGCTTCTTGTCACTAGGCCACTAGAGCTCCCCCATTGTCCAGCTTTCATATACCTGTGAGGCAGTTGAGAATATCATGGCTTGCATCACATGAACCTTACTCCATCAAGTGATGTCTTTACAGTTTTCATACTTTAAAGAGGTCTTTAAAGTGAGCATGAGTACCACCTAGAACTATATATTGGAGGTCTTCATACACATGCGGTAGTACTAGCAGCATCTAGCATGATAGCTATACTTGTATCTATTTGCCAGTTACTCTTCAAAGCTGTTTACCTGGTACTGAGTCGTTATAAAATGAGCACGCACCAGGTGAGGGACAGTCATGTGTGATCTTTGCTGATTTCACCAGGGAGAACTGTTCCTGTCAATAGCATCAACAACACAAAACCAATTCCCATGAGGTCAGACATGTCCCCCATGCTCCTGTACCTCTATCTACTCATCTAACTACTAATCTTACTGCTTTGCAGGATCCAAAACCTGATGCGATAGTTCACAGACTATACAGAATCATCTTGGGGATGTTGAAAGTTTATAATCGATATTAGTAGCAGAATAAAGTCAGGATAGCTTCTGAAATGTGCACTCAGGCACCTTGACCTTGAGCCTCATGGCTTTAGACTGCTGTTATAAAATTCTCAGTCCTGCCAATATTGTATCTCCCCACATCCCCCTAGATTGTCCAATAAACTTGTGTGACGTCTCTTGGCTTTGTTCTGGTTCTGTCCATGGGGACACGTAGCAGCCAGCTCCGTCTTATGTCAAGTCTCTGTACTCCTCTGTTTTGGCTACGGCTGCTGCTGCTGTAGGTGTAGATGGAGCAAGAATGCCTGGTCCTGAATTCTCTTGCTGCTGCGTCTCTTCTTCTCTAGTGGGGAAGGTCTAATTCTCCTGCTGCTCGATTGCTCAGTTTAGTGGCAAGAGTAGCTAACTCCTTTGTGGATTGGTAAGACTAGCCAATCAATTTGTGGATTGTAGATAGCCAATCCCCCTTGTGGACAGGCTGACACACTCCATTTGCAAATTCCCGCCCATTTCTACATGGCAATATCAAACAATGGCTAGGAAAGTAATCTTGAAAGATAATCTCCATAGTCATTTTAATTATCACATAAGCTTTATGAAATACATAGTGTTAGATGAGGGAATTGAGACTTAGTACCTTGTCAAAGTCACATAGTTACTGCGAGTGGAGCCAGTACCTGATAAAAAAACCCAGCCATTCTGAACCACCTTCCACTGCTGTAATCTCTGCAAGGCATCCTTCTGGTTGGGGTCCAGTGAGAGTTGCTATCTGGTACGGTTGCAGGAGGGGAAGCATTAGGAAGAAAATACTAATTTTGATTTACAAGGTGATAGAGATTTATATCCTCTAGAATCCCTAATAGAATTTCCCCTATTCTTTGAGCTCTGAGATAATATGTCATAGTTTAAGTACCATAGGGGCATGCGAAGATGATCTTATTTGTTCTTCTGGTACAAACTGACAGATTCAGTCATTGTTTATGTGTTCCTATAGAGTGGATAAAAACAGTGCCACAGTATAATTTTTCTGCAGCATCAAATCTCTTTGTGATGTGTGTGTGTGTGTGTGTGTGTGTGTGTGTGTGTGGCGGGGGTGAGATGAAAGGGTCCATATCTCAGTTTATTTTAATACTTTTATCTTTAATCTTCTCAAAGCCTTTTTGATATTTAGTTGCATTTCTAGTCCACTCCTGAAAACCTGAGCTTTCAGGAAATATTTATTGCTTGGAGTGCATGTTTCAGTGAATGTTTTAAAATCTAGAGACTTAGTGACAAACAACACAAAGTCCTTGAGCTTATGGAGCTTGCATTTAGACATGGGAGGTGGTAGATGAATATATAATCCATTGTTAGCCATCAATAAGTGCTACAATACAAAATAAAGCAAGGAAGAGATCAGCCAGAGGGGCAGAATA